CAAAAGAATGAAAGAAAAGGAAAGAAAGAAAAAAGGAAGGAAGAAAAGAAAGAAGGAAGGCAAGAAGAAAGAAAAAGAAAAAAATGGCTTTATAGCCTTTATGTAGATTTTTTTGGTAACGTGGACCTGGCATTCTTGCACCATATACCTATCACTTTAAAAATATTTATCTTTTAGTTTATCACATCTCCCTAAAAATAACTCTAGAGCTTCAAGAAAGTCTTTTTTATTTTTAATTTATTTTTTATTAATTTATTTTGAGTTATCAACAATCACTCCCATAAACTTTTGAGTTTTAAATTTTTCTCCACCTCCCTCCCATCTTCCTCCCCACGACGGCACGAAATCTGTTATAGGCTATACATATACATTCCTATTAAACATATTTTCACATTAGTCATGTTGTAAGGAAGAATTAGAACCAATAGGAGGAACCACAAGAAAGAGGAACCAAAACAAAGCAGAGGAAAAAAAAGAGCAAATAGTATGCTTCTATCTGTATTCAAACTCCATAGTTCTTTCTTTGAATGTGGATAGTATTTTCCATCATGAGACTTTTGGAGTTGTCTTTGATCCTTGCATTGCTGAGAAGAGCTAAGTCTGTCAAAGTTAGTCATCACACAACAAGGCTGTTACTGTGTACAATGTTCTCCTGGCTGTGCTCACTTCACTCAGCATCAGTCCATAGAAGTCTTTCCAGGTTTTTCTTAAGTCCGCCTGTTCATCATTTCTTATAGCACAATAGTATCCCATTAGATTCATATACCACAACTTGTTCGAGCATTCCCCAATTGATGGGCATCCCCTCAATTTCCAATTCTTGTCCACCACAAAAAGAGCTGCTATAAATATTTTTCTATATGTCGGCCCTTTTCCCATTTGTATGGTCTCTTTGGGATATAGCCCTAGAAGTGCTATTGCTGGGTCAAAGGGTATGCACATTTTTATAGCCCTTTGGGCATAGTTCCAAATTGCTCTCCAAAATGGTTGGATCATTTCACAACTCCACCAACAATGCATTAGTGTTCCAATTTTCCCACATCTTCTCCCACATTTATCATTTTCCTGTTGTTGTTTTTTTCATGGTGGCCGATCTGATAGGTGTGATGTGGTACTTCAGAGTTATTTTGATTTGCATTTCTCTAATCAACAGTGATTCCGAACATTTTTTCATATGACTATAGATGGCTTTAATTTCTTCATCTGAGAACTGCCTGTTCATATCCTTTGACCATTTACCAGTTGGGGAATGACTTGTTTTCTTGTAAATTTGACTTAAATTTGACTATATATTTTAGAAATGGAGCCCTTATCAGAGATACTGGTTGTAAAAATTCTTTCCCAGTTTTCTGCTTCCCTCCTAATCTTGGTTGCATTGGCTTTGTTTGTGCAAAAACCTTTCAATTTAGTGCAATAAAAATGATCCATTTCACATTTCATAATGTTCTCTTTGTCTTGTTTGGTCATAAATTCTTCTGTTCTCCATAAATCTGACAGGTAAACTATTCCTTGCTCTCCCAGTTCCCTTATATTATCAGCCCTTATATCTAAATCATGAACCCATTTTGACTTTATTTTGGTATATGGTGTGAGATTTTGGTCTATGCCTAGTTTCTGCCATACTCTTTTCCAGTTTTTGTAGAATTTTTGTCAAATAGTGAGTTCTTATCCCAGAAGCTGGGGTCTATGGCTTTATAAAATAGTAGATTACTATAGTCATGACTACTGTGTCTTGCATGCCTAACCTATTCCACTGATCTACCACTCTATTTCTTAACCTGTATCAAGTAGTTCAGATGATTGCTACTTTATAATACAATTTAAGATCTGGAATGGCTAGACCCCCTTCCCCTGCATTTCTTTTCATTAGTTCTCTTGATATTCTGGACCTTTTGTTCTTCCAAATGAATATTGTTATTATTTTTTCTAACTCCATGAAATAATTTTTTGGTAGTTTGATTGGTATGGCACTGAATAAGTAAATTAGCTTAGGTACAATTGCCATTTTTATTACATTAGCTCTGCCTACCCATGAGCAACTGATGTTCTTCTAGTTATTTAGATCTGACTTTATTTATGTGGAGAGTGTTTTGTAATTGTGTTCATATAGTTCCTGGGTTTGTTTCTGTAGGTAGACTCCTAAATATTTTATAATGTCTACAGTGACTTTAAATGGAATTTCTCTTTCTATCTATTGCTGTTGGGCTTTGCTGGTAATATATAGAAATGCCAGTGATTTATGTGGGTTTGTTTTATAGCCTATCACTTTGCTAAAGTTGTTTATTATTTCAAGTAGTTTTTTACTTGATTCTCTGGGATTCTCTAAGTATATCATAATATCACCTGCAAAGAATGATAGCTTTGTTTCTTCTTTGCCTATTCTAATACCTTCAATTTCTTTTTCTTCTCTTATTGCTAAAGCTAATGTTTCCAGTATCTTACTGAATAACAGTGGTGATAATGGACATCCTTATTTCACCCCTGATCTTATTGGAAATGCATCTAGCTTATCCCCAAGTTTTAGGTAAATGCTACTTATTATTTTAAGGAAGACTCCATTTATTCCTATGCTCTGTAGTGTTTTCAATAGGAATGGGTGTTGTATTTTGTCAAAAGCATTTTCTGCATCTATTGAGATGATCATGTGGTTTCTGTTAGTTTTATTGTTGATGTGATCAATTATGCTGATAGTTTTACTAATATTGAACCAGCCCTGCATGCCTGGTATAAATCCTACCTGGTCATAGTGTATTATTCTTGTGATAAGCTGCTGTAATCTATTTGCTTATATTTTATTTAAAATTTTCGCATCTGTATTCATTAGGGAAATTGTTCTATAATTTTCTTTCTCTGTTTTGACACTTCCCGGTTTAGGTATCAGCACCATATTTCTATCATAAAAAGAATTTGGTAAGACTCCTTTTTTGCCTATTTTCCCAAATAATCTATGTAGTATCGGAATTAATTGTTCTTTAAATGTTTGATAGAATTCACTTGTAAATCCATTTGGCCCTGGAGATTTTTCCCTAGGGAGTTCATCAATGGCTTGTTCTATTTCTTTTTCTGAGATGAGGTTATTTAAGTATTTTACTTCCTCTTCTGTTAATCTGAGCAAATTATATTTTTTGTAAATATTCATCCATTTCAGTAAGATTGTCAAATTTATTTGCATACAGTTGGACAAAATAGTTCCTAATTATTGTTTTAATTTCCTCTTCATTGGTGGTGAATTCACCCTTTTCATTTTTGATACTGGTAATTTGGTTTTCTTCTTTCTTTTTTTTAATTAAATTAACCAGAGATTTATCTATTTTATTGTTTTTTCCCTAAAACCAGCTCTTAGTTTTATTTATTAGTTTAATAATTTTCTTAATTTCAATTTTATTAGTCTCCCTTTTGGTCTTCAGTATTTCTAATTTGGTATTTAATTGAGGATTTTTAATGTGTTCTTTTTCTAGTTTTTTTAGTTGCATGCCCAATTCATTGATCTCCTCTTTCTCCATTTTATTCATGTAAGCATTTAGAGATATAAAACTTCCCCTAAGAACTGTATTCGCTGTATGCCATAAGTTTTGGTATGTTGTCTCATTATTATCATTCTTTTGAATGAAGTTATTGATTATTTCTATGATTTGTTGTTTGACCCATTCATTCTTTAGGATTCGATTATTTAGTTTCCAATTAATTTTTAGTCTGTCTTTCCATGGCCCTTTATTATCTATAATTTTTATTGCATCATGATCTGAAAAGGACACATTTAATATTTCTGCCTTTCTGCATTGGATTGTGAGGTTTTTGTACTCTAATATATGGTCAATTTTTGTGTATGTGCCATGTACTGCCGAGAAAAAAGTACATTCCTTTCTAT